GGCCTACCCGGGAGTCAGAAGAAGGAGGGGTCCAATAAACAGCCACTCCCAGGGGCAGGGGATGTCAGAGAGGAAGAGGCTGCCCACAAGACAGGGTAGACAGGGCCTTCTCCACGCACAGAGCCACACTGGACTGCTATCCCAGTCCCAGTGAGCACAGGGGGAGACTGAGGCCCAGGGGCTCAGGGTCACAAGGCGAGTCAGAAGCCAAGGTGGGAAGACCTGCAATTTCAGACTCCCACCCTGGGTCATTTAAACAAGGTTACAGTGTCCTGGTTGGAGGGAAACTGGCGGTGCCACATCAGCGCTGGCTCAGGACTTCTACAGGGGGTCCACCTAGGGGTGAGGGCCAAGGGAGAGCAGAGGCTTTTTTGCATGAAGAAGTCAGAAGAGGAAGAGGAACCAGCTATTTGTTTAAGCAAAATCCCAACTAACAAACTAGGGGGCAGGGAGGCACACACAGCTCACTATCCTGCCAGTGGGGGCCAGACGTAGAAGAAAGAAAAACTTTAGCTGGGTATGGTGGCTCACACCTGTAATCTCAGCACTTTGGGACGCCAAGGTGGATGGATCACCTGAGGTCAGGAGTTCGAGACCAGCCTGACCAACATGGAGAAACCCCGTGTCTACTAAAAATATAAAATTAGCCGGGCATGGTGGCAGACACTTGTAATCCCAGCTACTTGGGAGGCTGAGGCAGGACAATCGCTTGAACCCAGGAGGCGGAGGCTGCAGTGAGCCGAGATTGCTCCACTGCACTCCAGCCTGGGCAACAAGGGTGAAACTCTGTCTCAAAAAAAAAAAAAGAAAGAAAGAAAGAAAGAAAGAAAAAGAAAAACTTCCAGCTAGGACACTGACTTCTGTGTGACTTCAGGCAGGTGACTTCGCTTCCCTGAGCTCCAGCTTCCTCCCCTGCAAAATTGGGCTAACAATCAACCCCACCTCATTGTGCTACTGTGAGGAGGAACTGAGATAACACATGCAAAGGGCTTGACATGATGCCTGGCACTTAGTAAATGCTTAATACATAGCAGTGCTATTGTTGTTGTTATTATTACTCCAGCAAAATGTCAAGGGCCAAACCCTGAAATCTCAGAGAGAACTGAGCTAGGAGTCAGAAAGCCCAGTACACGGGAATCCACAGGAAGGGTGGGGGCCCAACCCAGGATGTGTTTGTGGAGTGGGAGGGACATCCACCCTGGGAGGGCACACTACTGAGGGGACCACAGAGCAGCTGGAGGGGCTCCCCAGGTCTTGGGGGTCCCTGGCTCTGCCCTCTGCCTGATCAGGAAAACAGTCTTTGCTCTGCTGGGAAAGGACTGCCGCTTTGGCCCCCAGCTCTCAGCTACCACCTAGTCCTGGCCACCATCTCCACCACTCCTGGACCCCTGCCCGGCTTCCTGCTGCTCTCTGGCGCCCCGCCTCTCCTCTGGCTCATTCTCCCCACACCAGCCACAGCTGTCTTACCGCCACTGCCCTCGGCCACTCTAACCCCTACATAATACCCTTCCGCACCCTCATCAGGCTTGTCCCACCAGGGCCTGCTCTGTCCCTTGCCGGACTCCTCTCTTGCCTCTACCACTCCAGACTGGCCTTTCAGTGCTAGGAGAACAAGTGTCCCCTCGGGCCTCAGGGCCTCTGTTCATACTGACCCTTGACCCCTGCCACCCTTCCCCACTCCCCAGGGCCTTGACTCACATGTCACTTCCTCCTGCAAGGCTTCCCTGACTCCTCCCTCTGGGTCAAATCTCCCTATTCCTGGCCCTTGCCAAGATGTAACTTTACCTTCATTTGTGATTATTTGATTCATACCTGTCCACCCCTGCCAGACCCCAACTGTAAGTACTGCAAGGGCAGGGCCTCACTCAGTACCTAACATAGTGTCAGCACAAAGGAGATGTGTTAATGCATATTTTTCAAATGGATAAATACATAAAGAAATGAATTTGTATGCCTTTCCAACCTTTAAGCCTACCATTTAGGCCTGACAGAACATACTCTTGAAAGTAGAGGGCACCTAGAGAGCACCCTTCCCCCAGGATAGACATCCTTTCCCCAGCATCCCTAACGTGAGACTGACCTCCAGCAGTCACTTACATACCTCCTGTGATGATGAGCTCACTCTCTCTCATGACAGCCCATTTCCTGACAGATGGCCCCTAACAGAGCACTTTCCTACATATGGGTGGGCTGAAATCCACATCTGTAGCCTGCAGCTTCCTCCCGGAGGTCCCAAGGCTGCCATGTCTTCCTCCCCAGACTCAGATCCCACTCCAGGTCTTCTCTTCCTGCAGTCCAAGCAGTCCCTGTTCTCTCAGCTCAGAAAGTGGAGTTCAGTCCTCTTGGGCCTCTTCTCCCTCCTCTGTGTACTTGCCAATTTCCCACCAATACCTTGAAAACTTGAGTCCTAAGCAGAGCCCAGAGCTCCAGATGACTTCTGAGAAACATTTCAGCACTGCATCCACTTCCTGACCTGGGAAAGTGGGATCTTCCCTGCTGAGGCAGCCATGTGCTCATCTGTGTCATGTGCTGATCTGCACACATGTGGACAGCCATGTGCTCCTGCAAGGTAGCCAAGGGCTCCGCCCGGTCAGCAACAGCCAGGATCTCCCTTCCCCTCTCCTACAAGCAGCCTTCATTTTGCTGCAAACACTGGGCACTACTCCTTTCCTTTCTGAGCCTCAATGCTTCTACCTGTGCAATGGAAAGGGTTCCTCTGAGCAGGAAGCGGAGGGAGCCCTGTGCTGACTGAGTCTCCGGCTCTATCACGTATCAGAGCTCCAGAAGAGCAAGAGTCTCACCAGGGCCAGCTTCCTGGGTGGGTCACCATTGCAGTCACACAGAGCCCAGTGTGTGGAAGCGCCCCGGGCTCAGGTGAATGCTCTGCTGCCACCATCCTGAAATCTTTAATCATTTTCGAACAAGGGACCTTATATTTTTTTATTTTGCTCCAGGCCTGGCAAATTATGTCCTGATCCCGAAACATCTGCCCAGCCCTGAGACGATACCTACCAGCCCCCAGCTAATATGGTGACCCAAGAGAGAGACAGGTTGAACAGATAAGACCCTGATTCTGACCTTCTTCGGGGGACCACACATCCCTGCACAATGAGAGGAACCCAGGAAATGTGGGCCCATCCAATCCCACAGGGTGCTTCTGCACAGTTCCCTGGCACAAAGCCCTTGTGGGGAGGGACCCCACCTGACTTCCTGACCCAGAGCCCTGTCCTTCATGCATTCTTCCCCAAATCCCTCAGCCTTGCCCCCACTCCCAGTTCACTGACACCCCCTCAAGTGTTCCCATCCCCCACTCCCCCTTAGGTAACTATGAAATGTTTGCCAGTCCTTAATATGGGGTGGAGGAACATGTGATGCATTTAAAATCCCAAGGGGGCTCCAGCCATAATAAATGGATCAGGGCTTTTGGATCCCGATTCACACAAACCAACTGCTAAAAAGACATTTTTGAATCAATTGGAGTACTCTGAATAAGAACTGTGTGTTAGGTAATACCCAGGAATTTGTGTTAATTTTGCTAGATGTGATAATGGCATATTATGTAAGAAAATGTCCATGTATTTTAGAGATGCATGCTGAAGTATGTAGGGGTAAAATGACATGATGTCTGGAATTTGTTTTAAAATACTTCAGAAAAGCGGGGAGTAGATGAAATAAGTATGACAAAACCTTAATAGTTGTTGAAGCGGGGTGATGGGTACACAGCAGTTCATTATACAATTCTACTTTTGTGTATGCTTGAAACTTCTCAATTAAAAAAAGAGGGTAGAGGGTCATCAAGATAATTTGCTAAAAGTTTCCTGTAATGTCCCCAGAAGACCCCCCCAACAGACACACACACACACACACACTGTGCCTTTTGAGAACTTTCTCTAGAAGGCCAACCCAGGCAATCCCCCGACTGTAAAGAAGACTCGTGTATGTATGTGCATATGTGCATTTCCCCAGAGAAAAACATCCACAGCTTCCACAACGAGAGGGGTCGTGACCCCTCCCCGCCGAAAGATTAAGGACCTGCGCTCCTACAGACGGGAGCCCTGTTTGAAGTCTGCGTTGCCCCTCACCTCAAGCTGGTCACTGTGTGAAGTTGGCCAAGAATCCCCCTGGCCCCTGGGTGCCTGTTCCTCCACCTGTAAAATGGGGCTGCAGGGCCGTCCACGCGGCCACTGGAAGGACAAGATGTTCAGGCCGCTAGGCCGCCCCCTGGCAAGTGATTTCCACTCGCAGCGCGGCCTCCACCCTCGCCCAAGACGCGCCCTCCGCGCCCCCACCCCCTCCAGGCCTTGGCCAGTCCACCTCCCGCTTGGGGCGGCAATTTGTCTCCTTTTGAACCCCCCCGCCCCCGACGGGTTTCCCCCTTTGATTCGCGGCCCGGAGGCTTCCCCCCGCTTTGAAATGCAAACCCGCCTCGGCTGGGGCCGCGGGC